AACTGTAAAAAAAATAATTATTAAATGTTTTTTTGAGTTTACTGACTACCATTCCATCACATTTTGAACCATTCCAATGTTCATCACATCCTTCAAGACAAACTCCTCTACATTGTTGCAATATGTTCCAGGTTTACAATGACCACACATTTTTGTACAGTCCTTACCATGAAAGCCGATTTTACACAGTAAAAATATTTATAGAGAATAAATTGACTCAATGTTTTTTTTTTAAATTGATAATTTTAAGTAGTGATGAACTTGGTGTTTTTAGATTTATAAAACCTGAACAGTATACAGATATTTTATAACGAAGTAATAACAAGGAAGGTATTCATTTTTTGGAATGCTTTAACAGGTCTGGACGATTTCTGAATAAGGAAGTCAAGAACGCTATTAATACTCAGAATAAACAAGGCACTAACTCTTCTGACCAATCAGATAACAGCATTTAGACAAACCAATGAGAGAATAAATAAAACACGTGGTTTTTAAGTTTTTTGCTCAAAAGATTTTTTTAGAACAGACTTTTTGTAAACTTTATGCGCACTTAGGAATAAAATAATATTTATGACAATTCTACCGTGAACAAACACGATTTGAAAGCTTGGAATACGTTTTAAGTGGGATAAAAAAAAATCTGTCTCAAGGAGTTAGCAATCCCAAAAGTTTACTTACGTTAAAAAATTAATATAAATACGGTAAATTTTCAGTTTTTAGAGCCTGACATAAAAATCTTTTCAAAAAGATAACAGTCTTTATTATTTTTGAGTGTTTATTACAGAATACTAGTAGTCCATGCAGTTTCTGATATGCGAGGTAAGATATTGAGATAAAGTATAATTACAGGATTCTCTTTTCTCCACGTTAAACGCCTTTCCTTATGCCCATTTAAAGTCTGCATAGCTAAGTATTTGGCGCTCATGAAACCCGTGATAATGCAAAACTATATGTGTATACTCCATACGATAAACACTTGTGTGAGTTGATCTATATACATGGAATTTAAGCATTGTCGATGAAAATCGGACTGCTAAGCAAAATTATATTTACCATCATATAATATATTCTGGTGTATGTTATAATTGAACTTGATAAAAACTTGCTAGTGCGATCTATACCTCTGTAAACGATTACGTTCTATCGTGCATTATTTTTTTTCTTTACCGAGATAAAAATGTCAAGGTTGTTCACGGTAAAAATTTGGGGAATACCTTATTCTTCAAAAGTTTTCATCTTACTTCTACAGATGTTTTGTTAAAAAAATCTTTTTAAGGAAAAAAACAAAAGCACGTGTTATCTTTTTGTTCTTTTTGAATATGTTTTGGGGTGTGTAAAAATGCTGTTGTCTGATTGGACAGAAAAATTATTACGTGTACTTGATGTACTTTATAGCAACTTTCGGTTATCGTTCTTGACTTCCATATTTAGAAATCGTCCAGACCTGTTTAAAGCTATAAGATAAACGAAGCTCTTCGTATTCTTATATTTTATTTACACATACTATTAGAACAAACTAACATAAATCAATATTCTATTTAATCAATATAAAAATGAAGGAAATGGTTATTTTTCTGAGATTTGCAATACATGCATTTTTTTGTATCATACCATCACATTTGAAAAAGAAAAGAATAAAACATTGCAATCACCATCACATTTGGTTCCATTCCAATGTTCTTGACAACTACCAGGACATATTCCTGTGATGTTGTTACAGTATGTTCCATTTGCACAATTCCCGCATATTTTTGAACAGTTTATACCATAAAATCCACCTCTACAAACTGGAAAAAACATTCTACAATTCTTCTTTTGGATTTTTAACGCTTTTTCGCGTGTCTAAAGTTATTCAATACTAGTAACTCAAAACCTCAGTCTCATAGCTCAGGTAGTTAGAATAAGAATTATTTTAAGAATTTTTTACTTTACAAGTGTAAAGAGGTAGGTGAAAATTTTGTCCCGAATATATATGATTGAATAATTCCTTTCTTTCTGATTGGCTTAGATCCAACTATGTGAAGGAAATACTACGTTGTATTTACCTGCACGTGACGTTCCAGGTAAATACAAGGAATTATTTTCCCTGCATTGACCTATAAATAGATCGGAAAATTCCACAGATTGATACAAATTGTTTTGAAAGGTATTTAAAGGCTATGATTTTTTCTCATGTGAAAGCATAAGCAAATATATACTTTCGGGTAATAGTGGTAGGAGGGGATGCAGGACCTCACACTCCAACACATTTACCAAACAACAATTTTTATTTTTTTTAGCTGTAAGTTTTCCGGCCCGATAACACTACTTCCTTTCAAAATATATTCTATGTAAAAACTTGACATTATATTTTTTTTCATGGCAACTAAGATAGATAAAAACATTTCAAATTAATACGACTGGTAAGGTTAATTTACATTTTGACCCTGCTTCTCACTTGTATTTGGTTCAGACTTAATTAAATTCAAACAAGTAATGAGTTATATCATTTTATACGTGAATCATATAATAAAACAAGTATCGCTCTTCTTTCAGTCAATACAATGAATTAGCCATCTACTTCGGGCTCGCTGAATATTGTAATCCTCAGATGGTTAAACCATTGTATTGACTGAAAGAACAGTCCAAAAGACGAGTTCACAATACGTTCAGTCATTTACTCATAAATATACATGTGACATTCTTTTTCTAAACCTCAGTTTCATAACAAAAGGCCTATGGACCACATCGCTCACCCGAGAAGCTTTGACCATGCTGTTCTTGAACAGATTTCCCCTTGTAATACATGTTGTGACAAACCCTACCCAACTGATCATAATTTGAACAATTTGAAATCTACAGTATTCCAGGAAGCTTCCACATAAGTTGCAACTTTTCTGGTTTTTTAGAAGAGGATTTTTAAAGATTTTCCCTATATATTTCTATGAAAAACTTTGAATCCCTATTGTGCCCCACCCCTACCCAGGGGTCATGACCTGAATATTTTAAAACATACGAGGGTTGATCCAAAAGTTCGTGGAATTTCTTTCTAAAATTTTATCGTGATGTGATGAAATTAAGCTACAGGCATATTCATAAAATAGAGTTATAATGCAACAATATTGGAAATTTTCGCCAATTTTCAATTACCAATAAGGTCACACGAGCTTTCTGAAAATGGATAATTGGGAAACCCGGGGGGAGACTTCAACGTAACGTCAAGTTAGATATGTCACGTCACGTTATAGAAGCATCTCGCCCAAATGTCCAATTATAATACGTAATTCTACAAAATGCTGCCCTTTTCTCCATTTTTTTTCTCTCAAGAAAAGCCTGGGCATCCTCTTGCACCAACTTATCTTCATTTTTTACTCATATTTCAAAAAAAGCTACCCATCTTTCCATATGATGTTCCAACTTCAGTAGCAATGTCAAGAGCAGGGCCACAGCCAACAACGTCCATTAACGCTTTTAATTTGTCTAGGGGGATACGTACGTAAACAGAAACTCTAAAAAGCAACCACATACTTTATCAATGTCCATGGAAGTTCTATTTTTCTTAAACTTCTTATGCCACTGGAAAACCAGTAACTAAATGCATTTTCCCCAAGCCTATGTCAAGATAAGATAGAGTGCTACCGGGATTTTCACAAAACGTGTGATTTGACCGAAATTTTACATTATCTTACAACTTAGAGATGAACAATAAACCATCAAATTATAAACTAAATATCCAGTAAATTCAGTAAAACTCTCACACGCAGGTTTATAAAAGATCAAACAATCATAATAATAACATAGTTTTCGTTTTTATACCACATAGGGCGGTTTAATTCTTATCTCACGAATTAAGAATATAAATGATAATAAACGCGTTAATATCTCCCCCGCCTTGCCTAATAACCGTTTCTATGGCAACTGCCATAAAGTTACTATCAAAGATACTTAAAATGTATTTTAATTTAAAATATTCACCAAGTGTCTATATTTTTATTTGTAATTTTCAACCAATTCCACTGAAAAATAAATAAGATATGAAGAAATTCCACGAACTTTTGGATCAACCCTCGTACACTACCCCAGGATGCTTCCTCATAAGATTCAGCTTTTCTGGCCCAGTGGTTCTTGAGAAGAATATTTTCAATGATTTTTCCTATATATTTCTATGTTAAACTTTGATTCCCCATTCTGGCCACGCCCAACCCCCGGGGGTTATGATTTGAACAATTTAGAATCTACACTACTCCAGGATGTTTCCATATAAGTGTCAACTTTTCTGGCCCAGTGGTTCTTGAGAAGATTTTCAAAGATCTGTTTTATATATTTCTTTGTAAAAATTTGACTCCCCATTGTGGCCCCGCCCTACCCCCCCCCCCCCCCCCCCCCCCGGGAGTCATGATTTGAACAATTTAGAATCTACACTACCCCAGGATGCTTCAAGATAAGTTTAAGCTTTTCTGGCAATGTTGTTCTTGAGAAAAAGATTTTTAAAGAGTTTTCCTATAAATTTCTATGTAAAACTTTGATTCCCCATTGTGGCCCTGTCCCACCTCAGGGGGTCATATGATTTGAACAATTTAGCATCTACACTACCCCAGTATGCTTCCACATAAGTTTCAGCTTTTCTGGCCCAGTGGTTCTTGAGAAGATGACCCCACCCTATTTTTGTCTTTTCTTGATTATCTCCTCTTTTGAGGGGATTTTGCCCTTCATTTTTACAATTTAAATTCCCCTTAACACAAGGATGATTTGTACCAAGTTGTGCTTAAAATTGGCCTAGCGGTTCTTGAGAAGAAGTCAAAAATGTGAAAAATTTACAAACAGACGGACGACGGACAAAATTTGATAAGAAATGTTCACTTCAGCCTCGGCTCAGGAGAGCTAGACATATTCTGTTATTTTTAAAAAAGAAGCTATTTTGGTTTCAAAATAAATGAAAATTGAAAGACTATATAAAACAAATTATGTTATACTCTTTTTTGTTCCGAATTCATTATCAAATATTTTGATGAGCCTGATTCTTTTGTGATGTTAAAGATTACAAACCGTTGCATTTATCACTGTCCCAATGATCCTCACATCCCTGGTGACAAATTGCTGTTGATCTATTGCAATTTGTTTCAGGTTTACAATGCCCACATTTTTCTTCGCAGCTGTCGCCGTAGAAATCATTTTCACACACTTGGCAACAACGAAAACAGCCAAATGTTATTTGCATTCAATTTACCCTTAATATCAAAAAGTCAATCGTTTATATCCGAAATATTCAAAATTAAATGTTTACGTTGCAAGTGTAAATATCTTAATTTGGCTTACATAGATAATTAATAAATGGTCATCTCTTACCATCACATTTTGATCCATTCCAGTGATTTTGGCATCCTCGGGGACATATTCCAGTGATTTTTTGGCAGATTGTTCCTATTTTACATTTACCACAAGTTTTTTCACAGTTGTGCCCGTAATATCCGTCTTTACAAACTACATACATAAACAAGAGGCCCAGGGGCCTTATAGGTCACCTGAGCATCATGCAACAACTTTCAAATGATTGAATTTGGTTTATGTTTTAAGGTATAGATGCTATGGCATTCACAATTTTGAAAGAGGCACCATTGCTAATCATAACTTTACACTTAGCAATTGTTTAGTTTGATTACTTAATACCCATAAGCAGGGTAGGGGAACAATAATGAAAGTCAACTAATCAGTAATATTCAGCGTAATATTCAGCAATAATCAGGAGTGCTCCTACCACACATGAACTCCTGACCCTAGGTCTACACATTGCACAATTTTTGAAAAGGCACAATTGCTTCTCAAAATTACTTGATTAATACCAAGGAGTAGATTTCAAACAATTCATTTTCAGTATATAAGTAGAGCCCCCCCTCCCTTTTGGTATCCCTGACCCAGGGGCCTTGAAATTCGCAATTCTGGAAGAGGAACCCATCATAACTAAATAAATAGTTCATCTGCTTATTACCCAGAATTAGAGAAAAAGATTTTCATAGATGTAATAGATGTAATGTATTTTCACTAGATAATTATTATAGAGCCCCGCCCTAACACCATAACCCCTGACCGGGCATAAAATGCACAATTTTGGTAGAGGCACTCTTGCTAATCATAACTATGAACTTAATAAGTTTATTTAATACCTAGGAGCAGAGAAGAAGATTTTCAAAGATTTAATGTATTTTCACTATATAATCAATAGAGTCAAGCCCTAACACCATAACCCCTGACCCTGGGGCCATAAAATTCACAATTTTGGTAGAGGCACTCTTGCTCATCATAATTATGAACTTAATAAGTTTATTTAATACCTAGGAGCAGAGAAGAAGATTTTCAAAGATTTAATGTATTTTCACTATATAATCAATAGAGTCACACCCTAACACCAGAACCCTTGACCCTGGGGCCATGAATTTCACAATTTTGGTAGAGGCACTCTTGCTCATCATAACTATGTACTTAGTTAGTTTATTTAATACCCAGGAGCAGAGAAGAAGATTTTCAAAGATTTAATGCATTTTCACTATATAATCAATAGAGCCCCGCCCTAACACCAGAACCCCTGACCCTGGGGCCATGAAATTCAAAATTTATGTAGAGACACTCTTGCTCATTATAACTATGTACTTAGTTAGTTTATTTAATACTCATTAACAGAGAAGAAGATTTTCAAAGATGTAATGTATTTTCACTATATAATTATTATAGAGCCCCGCCCTAACACCATAACCCCTGACCCTGGGGCCATAAAATTCACAATTTTGGTAGAGGCACTCTTGCTAATCATAACTATGAACTTAATAAGTTTATTTAATACCTAGGAGCAGAGAAGAAGATTTTCAAAGATTTAATGTATTTTCACTATATAATCAATAGAGCCCCGCCCTTACACCAGAACCCTTGACCCTGGGGCCATGAATTTCACAATTTTGGTAGAGGCACTCTTGCTCATCATAACTATGTACTTAGTTAGTTTATTTAATACCCAGGAGCAGAGAAGAAGATTTTCAAAGATTTAATGCATTTTCACTATATAATCAATAGAGCCCCGCCCTAACACCAGAACCCCTGACCCTGGGGCCATGAAATTCACAATTTATGTAGAGACACTCTTGCTCATTATAACTATGTACTTAGTTAGTTTATTTAATACTCATTAACAGAGAAGAAGATTTTCAAAGATGTAATGTATTTTCACTATATAATTATTATAGAGCCCCGCCCTAACACCATAACCCCTGACCCTGGGGCCATAAAATTCACAATTTTGGTAGAGGCACTCTTGCTAATCATAACTATGAACTTAATAAGTTTATTTAATACCTAGGAGCAGAGAAGAAGATTTTCAAAGATTTAATGTATTTTCACTATATAATCAATAGAGCCCCGCCCTTACACCAGAACCTCTGACCCTGGGGCCATGAATTTCACAATTTTGGTAGAGGACTTAATGCTGATTACAATCATACCAACAGTTTGACTGTTTGATGTCCAGGAGTAAAGAAGAAGATTTTTAAAGATTGCACTAATTTTAGTGGTTTTTGCCCCACCCCCCAGGCCCCAGGGGGGCAGGGACAACACAATTCACAATTTTTGTTTCCCTTCATGCATAGATGCTATATGCCGAAATTGGTTGAAATTGGTTCAGCGGTTTCAGAGAAGAAGCTGAAAATGTTTAAATGTTAACGCACGACGGACGACGGACGACGGACGACGACGGACAAAAACAGATAGCAATAGGTCACCTGAGTTTACTCAGGTGACCTAAAAAGAGTATCAAGGAAAGGTAAAAGTATGTGTTCTCACATTCCATGCACGCTTGCCTCTCACATTTCCTAGTGCTACAACCCAAGTAGAACTATACATCCCCATGCAATAGATAATAAACATGCAATGCTTATTACACGTTATAAATTTGACATACACTAGACTTACTCATACAGTCAGGTGGTTCAATAAACCTTTTGCTACATCCATATATACAGGAACCATTAAACGCATCACACAAACGATTCAAACAACGGAGTGAACAATTTTTGCAGCTTTCTCCGTACTGGTGAAAATGACAGCCTAAATATTACAATCCATTTTAATATAGAATCATAAAAGAACTATCAAAAAAGTTTTATCAAGAGCCTCGTAGGAATCCTGATTCGTAATACATACCCATAACCATTACTTCGCATATTTCAATGGTGGCAAATGTAGGTTCATATCCGTTGCAACTTGTTATGAGTGGTGGGCTCTTTGAATTATATATAGCTATTCCTTTAGTGATCTTGTTTACTGTTACATTCATCACTTGGTTTAGACAAGAGGAAGGCTTTTGTGTGTACACTTTGATTCCACCCGCTGATCCTGGTGTATAGGACGAAGCATTGAACACAAACACATTGAATCCAATATGGCGATTGACAGCTACAAATATAGAAATAAAATAATACAACAAATAAGTTTAAAATGTGATAAATGTTACATATATTATGCTAATTAGTCACTCTTGTTAAAAGGTACTTGATTAGCAAATGCTTGCTGAACAAAAAATGTTCTTGTTGGAGAAAATGTCTGTCGATTTCACTATTTTATTAATATATAAATTGAAAAATGAAGCACCGAAAATCAGTGTACAGAACTATATGTTTTCGTTTCAGATAAATGCATAAAAATGACAAGGACTCATATCATACTAAAAATGATATGTTAGTTTTTTTCTTCATAAGGTGAAAAATTGGATTACTTGTCCAGCATATAATCTAGAAATGAAAATCTAATAATACACTATTAAATTTAAACACACATTTTATTGTCGCTGAGATGCATAAAAATGAAAAAGACTCATAATCACACTAAAAATAATGTTAGTTTTTTTTTCATAAGGTGAAAAATTGGATTACTTGTCCAGCATATAATCTAGAAATGAAAATCTAATAACACACTTTTAAATTTAAACACACATTTTATTGTCACTGAGATCCAAGTACATGTATTTTGATTGTCAGAAATAAGGCATTTTGAAATTTTCTTACAAGTATTTCAAAAAGCATGCCTCTTCCAAAGAAAGATGAAATAAAAAAAAACGTAAAAAATAACATCAGCAAAGACTATCCTCTTGTGTTCAAGATAAGCCCCAAATGTTGTTACATTTTGTATGGAAATTTATATTTCATAAATCATAACTAGGGTAAGATGGTTATGTTATTTTTGACATCTTCCCCGTGAATGTGAATCTGTCATTTTTTGACTTTTAATACCTCAGTCTGTCAGTCTTTCCTCTGTCACAAAAATTAACATTGTTCATTTTTTTTTAAAGAGAAAACAAAAGACTTTCATATTTAACATGGGCATTACCAGTGACAGGGCCTTTCAAGTTAACTGATTTTTTTATTACGTGACCTTGACCTTGAAGTTTAACTTACTTTTCCAATATATACTTTTCTTATAATATTGTTTATAGGGAAGAGACAGGGCTTTCATATTTGACATGTGTGACCAGATATCTCAGTGTATGATAACTTTTGACCCCTTGGACATTACGCCTTCATATTTACATGTACTTGATTTTACAAATCTTAATTTTACTGAAGAGTTAAAATGACATATGATTGCACTTCATATCGACTGTGTAAAAAGTGAAATTCATCTTCAATATCATTTAAATTACATAAATCATATTTCCTTGATTCCTTATATGTATTTAATTGTCATACCTTTCCCAGTTTCTATCTTTAAATCATGTGCTGAAAATCTAAACATGTAATTGCTTTTCTGCATTGTTTTCTGTATTTCTGTGTTAATATGTATCTTTACATAACCTCCCAAAAAATAATCACTTAAATTCTTGAATTATAACATGCATTTTGGTAATCTACATATATATGTATCAGATATAGAGTTCTGTTTAAAAACATCACATTTTATTGTGTGTTATGCCTAAAATACTCTATATACCATGTTTTTATTACTAGTTTCAAGTCTGCCAAATGTAGAGTGTTCATGTATTTTTTTTATTCTCTACAATATCTTAAAAACAATCATTCAAAATACAATTACATGCACTACTTTTTTCTTAATTTTAACCACTATTGAAATATTCTGCGCTTTCTATATACACTGAACCAAACTTCTAAGTGCTCACTTAACATTTTTGAAGTTTTAAAGAACAAATGCAAACAACAAATAATTTCTTTTATTCTCGGTTAATGATGCATATTCAAGTTTCGCAAATATACATTGATTGTTGTATGTCCCTGTAGGCATAGACGGTACTCATTTTTGATGCCCATTATATCATTTTTGTTTATTGAAATCCACCTGCTCATGTTTGTATAAAACAGGCATTGGCTGCTGTAAATTAAACATATTTCAATGAAAATATCTTTTGGATCCTTAACAAATTTTACAGAAGCTTTAATGAAGAGTTTAATTTCAATCCAGTTTACTGATTCTTGAATATTCATTTTAAATGCAGTGTCTCGAGTAGCCCTTGATTTCCAGCTTCTCACAACGGAATTATGTGATGAAAAGCGCTCACATAGGCTGTTATAGTCCCTGAAACGTTCTAATTTCCCACCTAAACGGTGATCGAACGCTGAACGAACGGTGAGCGAACGCAGAACGAACGGTGAGTGAACAATGTACGAACGCTCAAAGCAAATCAGTGAACGATGTGTGAACGTTGAACACAGAACGCGAACGGAGCGCGAACGCAAGCGCAAAGTGAACGATGAACGAACGGTGAACGCAAGATGAACGATTTATTCGGAATGCCTCCGATCTTTTCCTTGCATTGAAATTATTCTTTAATTCTAATTTCAGTTGTTTTGATATAAATAAACAGTAGATTAATACATAAATAATAAAAACATTTTTTTTCTGTACATATATGTCTATGATTTAAATCGATAGTTTTATAACACGATTTTAATTGCCGTAAAGCTAGTGTATTTGTTACTGAACGCGTGTAGTTTAAAAATAGAATTAATATATATATATATATATATATATATATATATATATATATATATATATATATATATATATATATATATATATATATATATATATATATATATAGTAAATATGCTTATCTTTTCACTAATTGAATAATGTGGACTTTAGAAGATAAAACTACTACTTATAGATTGAATGAATCACATTGTACGCGGTGGAATCAACCATACATGTATTTCCGTGCCAAGGTGACTCTAAGTAAAATAACGGATTTTTTTGAATTCACAATTGGCTGTTGACGTATTGCATAAAAATTCTCGTTTTTTTAAAATTCTAATGCAAAATATTCTTACCGTAATTATGTGTCTTTTGTATTCTTTTATGATGATTATCTTAGCTAACTTCTACATGTACGAGGGTTGTCCAAAAAGTTCGTGGACAATGACGTTTTTGTTATAATAAATGGTTCTATTTATGTATCTATTGTTTATCAAAATATTTCTTATGAAAAACCGAGTCAGAATGATTCAATTTTTATTGATTGAACTTCATAATTTAGTAAAAATCGGGGTCTTCAACTTCATATTTTAGTAAAAATCGGGGTCTTCAAAGGTTGGAGATAGTGCGTACGGACCAGTTATGCTTATTTCATTATAACTCAACATTTGGATTATGAATTTAACTCATGTTCGTGGACAGACACTACATTTCTTTGTTATGGCGCCACACTTCCAAGTGCTACCAATAATCTTTAAGTAATTATATTTTATTTAATTTTTAAAATTTAAAACATTGAACAAAAATTTATGAGCGTCATCTATTTAAACAGTTTGTATAGACAAACTGCTCAGCCCACTCCGACGCTGTGCTATGAACGTCATGAACAGAAACCTCCATTTTCAGCAAATTACATGTGTTTTTAAATTCTTTTAGTGTCTTTGAATTTGTACACACCGTTGAAAAATCGTATATACCAATCTCAAATTAATAAACTAAATATATTTAAATGGTTTTGGGTTGTTTTAACAAATAGTTTGTCTCTTACGTCCTTTCAACCGTTCTAAAACATATTTTTTTTTATTGGACGCTGTCCCGTGCGGACGGCCGACGTCGCTTTTTTGACGTCGAGTTTTGACACTTACTTGTTACGGTTTTAGTTTAGCATTTTCAATGTCTATATAGTAAGCGATACTTTAGATATCAGAAAGCGATTATTGCCTCTTTATTTATGTTACATATAATTTTCATATAATTTTGACTTGTTTTATATAGGAAATGATCATTTTAATCAGAACACTTTATATCCGTGTTTATGACATTTTAGCCTTGGTCCGTGCGCACTATCTGCGATCTTTGAAGACCCCGATTTTTACAAAAATTTAAAGTTTCATCAATAAAAATTAAATCATTCTGACTTGGTTTGTCATAAGAAATATTTTGATATACAATAGATTTATATAGAACCATTTATTTTAATAAAAACGTCATTGTGCACGAACTTTTTGGACAACCATCGTATATGTAGACATTTCCTGGCCCTGATTATACTCGGCAAGATAATGGAAATTAAGAGGCATTCAAACATTATTTGTGATAGATTAAATTTTCAAAACTAAATAAGCAATGTGATGTCGTAGTTTTTATTGAACAGAGATATGTACGAGAGAGAGAGAGAGAGAGAGAGAGAGAGAGAGAGAGAGAGAGAGAGAGAGAGAGAGAGAGAGAGAGAGAGAGAGAGAGAGAGAGAGAGAGAGAGAGGAGATACCCCCTCAATTCTCAGATATATGTTGTATTAAATAAAAATTCTTATTATTTTTCCTAAATATTCCAAGCAGTAAAGATAATCACTATTTTTTTTAGATTAACAAATCCATTTGACAGCAATCATTGGCTTTTGTTATACCTTTAAAAATTTGTTCCTATACAAATCTATACGAAAAAAAGTCTAACATTTTTTATGTATTGCTGAGCGGGCATAAAAAAATCGATTTTGGACCGCTGAGTGAGATGTTGGACCGCTCGGAGAGATGTTGGACCGCTTACGTCACAGAATGGGCGGAGCTTAATCTCATTTTCATTCGTTGGTGTAAAACAGTGACAGACCTGATGTTACAGATGTTACATTACGGAATATGGTACAAAATACATGTGTGTCAAAAAATATATAATAAAATGAAACTTTAAGGTATAACAAAACATTTATTGACAGAGTTCTCGGGCAAAATGCGTTTTGTCGACCCTCGAACCAAACTGTCTGCCTTCGGCCTAACTGCCTCAGGCAGACAGTTTGGTTCTTGGGTCCGACAAAACGCATGTTGCCCTCAAACTCAGCCAATAATTGTATATTATTTTCCGTCATCAAGTTCACACAGTTCACAGGAAGTCCATGTGTGTTTCTCCTGTCACTCAATATTATTCAACACAGTGGAGGCGTGGAAATCACGTTTCACAGAACATGCCGAAGGTAG